TTTTTTTCATTTTATATCCGACAAGGTATACCTTATGCAAACACATTTGATAAATCCATTGAAATGTCAGTTAGTTTTAGCCGATAAGTGCATGAATCATTTTCTAAGCATGTCTGCCAACCAAAGGGTGCAGCTTGGGGATCGTGTATCGATATCCTTCACCCACAAACCACACATCTCGGAGACGAGCCTTAGCAAGCGCTTAATAACGAGACATAATACGCTAAATGGACATTCCAAAACTATCAACGACAAAGAAACTAAATCCGTAAACACTCCATGTTCCGAGTGTTAATGTGAAAGAACCGAGCTCACATCATAGGAAACAATCTATCGATTTAGTTCAGCGAACTTTTCCAATATCCTTGACCTTGTAGGTCAAGGCCACGGGTTGAAACCCCCACACATCCGGCCTATCAGGGCTACGAGACGAGGGCCGCTCCCACTATAGCCGAATTCATTCATGCAAACATTGATTGTAAAGCCAGAGTCATGTGGTTTTGAGTCAATGCTTGAAATGGAATGTTACACTTGTGTTTGGGTGTAAGTCAACAACTAAGGGTAGTCTATACAGACAGTGTCGTCCTCCTTACTAACCCCAGCAAGTCGAAACATGACGCAAGCCGCCCCGATCATGATTAAATACAACTCAGTAGTATATGCTGGTGAAGGGATCGTGTGAATGGATGTATGAAAATGCGTATACGAATCCACTCCATACACATAATGGCATTGTTGTGAATATTCTGGGCCCACACGCGAGTTATGAAAATCATTTCAATACTACATATATATGACGTTTATAGCCATATAGTTTATATGACCCATATATAGTACCCAACATAGGTGAATGAATGATTTTGTATGGCTTTTGTTCTCATGGCCCCCGTCTTGATATTGCTGGAGTATGCTAACCGTGAGAGGCGTAACACCATACTCACTCACGCATTCATCTACGTCACGTCAATCGCACATCGTATTGTCAATATAGTGAATATGAAATAAACGTAATCTAACAGTGAGTGAGTATGGTTTTACGCCGCTTTTAGCAACATTCCAGCAATATCACGGCGGGGGACATCAGAAATGGGCTTCACACATTGTACCCATGTCGGGAATCGATCCCGGGTCTTCGGCGTGACGAGCGAACACTTTAACCACTAGGCACCCCGACCGCCCCAGAATGGGTTGGAATGGTATGTGGAGAAGGTGTCATTTTAGATTTTAATCACTTGACAATAAGCACGTGTATTTCAAGAAAAGAAGAAGGTATTTCTGGGTTTTCTTTGGTCAGTAGGGTGAATTCCTCAACCCCAGCCCCCCCTATCCCGCCTAACTGTTTTATTACAAATTCATTAACAGAATACCGGAAGTTAATAACCCCACGTGATGCATTATTGAACATAAGGATACGTGTTAATTTCCACCAAGGAAGGTCATGAGATAACTAATCGCATCCTCCCAAGGCAAGGGCGTTACAAGACTTTAAAAGTCCATTCAGGTTACTCCCTTGCCTCAGGAAAATGAACCTATCTTGACATTAGCCTATATATTTTCATTTAATCAAATCGAAACTATGCTCACACACAGAAAATCAATTATTTCACAGCTAGGTCTCCGCGATATAAGACTGTGCAGTAAAACAAACTTACGCTCGTTATTTTTGGAATACACATGATGTAGTAAAACTTGGTGCCGTTGTACAAAGCGATCTTAGCGCTAAGGTGGCCGTAACTCCAATAGATTAACATAGACTTACGACAGTCGTAGTGCTAATGTTGTTTTGTACGTCACCCAGGTCTCTTACGTGGGATCTTCAATAATTTATCAAATCTAAGAAACAAGACGAGTTTGGTGGAACTACACATATAGATCAGTAGGTACCTTTTCTCAGAACTAAGTTCTGAATTTATGGAGTAGAAAACACCATTGGTCATATTCGCAACTTGGGTTTTAGTTGTCGAAGGTATATGGCGGAGATATTAGTCAATGGTATAGATTGTGAGGACAGCATGGTGTGTGTGTGTGTGTGTGTGTGTGTGTGTGTGTGTGTGTGTGTGTGTTCAAATACAAAGCATGCCATGGCTGTTTAAAATCAGGATGACCGCATAAACAGAGTTTTCACTGGAGATGTTGGACAAGCACACGTTCCAGCTACATGTGCAAGCTATGCTGGGCGTTAGAGGCGACCAATCGGATCGGGTGGCCAGGCTCGGTGACGTGCATGATTGCGTGTCATCGTACCGAGACGGCGTGGGTCGTTGCTCACAGTATCAATCACTGGATTGTCTGGTCCAGCCCGTTATTTAACTGCAATGTTCCCAAGTGCGGAGTTAAACAACAAACAAAGCTGGCTGTCAAGGTCAAGATCTTAACGGAGTAGAACAAAAATCAATAATGTGTGTATTGACCATAATACTATGATCAAACACAAATGATCAAACGCAATCGACACATTGCCTTGGCCCGCCACCAGTCCAGAATCAATTGGAATATGTTTGGCACATTCTTGGACGTCGGTTACAGGCAAAGGATCCACCAGAGCAGATTCTGGCATCTTTACCGGCAGCATTGGACCAGTAGTGGCGGCAATTACCCTTTGACCGTATCGGAAGAGGCTGTCATCCGGGCAATATTGAACATTGTCATCATTATCTGTTTTTTTTCGTTTGGCAAGAGCTTCATCTTCAAGATGGCATTTATAGTTCCATCTTATCTATTTCCATGTGTACTCGCGGGGGCTTAAACATGAAGCGGGTTTACTATTTCATGATGCGGTATTTCATTACCTGTGAATGACAGTTGTTTTCTGATGTAGATCTGGCCGGTACCATAACAAATATGTCATGGCGCTTTTGCAGTAGGACATGTACCTCAGTTGAACGGAAATAAAATGGAGCGGTGGGGTTGCCTAGTGGTTGAAGTGCTGGCTCGTCACGCCGAATGGGTACAATGTGTGAAGCCCATTTCTGGTGTCCCATGCCCTGATATTTTTGGAATATTGCTAAAAGCGTCGTAAAACCATACTCAATCAATCAACTGAACGGAAAATCCATGTGAGTGAAAAACGTATAAATATATCAACCCTTTGCATAAATATAAATACCAGTATCTGTGTACTAAAATGTTTTCATGACAAAAAAGACTCTCTAAACTTATTGCAATTGTACATCGTACCTTTAGAACTAAATGTAAAAGGTGACCGTCATTGCCATCATGTTATGTATTGCTATAAACACATGCTCTTGTACCACCGTCGGTGGTGATTTTAGAAAAAACCCCAACTGAATTCAATTGAGAATTGACATTGACTTGTCGCTGCAAAGAGCTAAGGGCTGTTCCACGGTGTTTTCCTAATAGATGTCCGACCCAAATCCAAATTAGCTCCAGCAAAGTGCATGCGTCGTGATCTGACGACAAAAGCAAAGTGATTCACTGCAGAGGACACTTGTCTTCAAATACGAGTACATTTACACAGTATATTTACTTATCGTGTTGAAAACTGGACCGGTAAAGATATTTTAACCGCCATTGCGTGCAGCGTGGACGGGCAAACATCCATACCGTCTCGATGATTCCAACCCGATACGTACATGGAAAAGAGCATGATCGAAAATATAAGGACGCATATTTGAACGCAAGTGATTTAAGATGCGACTCGTATTGCAGTTTTCGTGGGATTAGGATGCTTGTGTACATTATGGTCGGGTTGTTAGTGCGGCATGTAGCGAATCGGGAATATACTAGTATTAGGAAAACACCAGGGAACAGCCCGTAGCTCTGTGTAGCGACAAGTCAATATCAAAATCGTTCGTTTATAGCTAGGAGCACGGAGATACAGTTAGTGCAGCTACCTGGTGCTCCTCCCAGTCGAGACCGCCTCCGTGGTCTAGTGGTAGAGCGTCCGCCCGGAGAGCGGAAGGTCCGGGGTTCGATCCCCGACTGCGTCATACCAAAAGACGTTAAAAAATGGTACTTGTTGTTACCCTGTCTGGCGCTCGGCATTAAGGGGCTAAAACAAGGACTCGTCGGCTCGGAGTCAGTATACTGTGTCTGAGTGGGGTATTCATGTTAAACTGCGGCATGGTATCTCAGTGTGCTAGCACAATAAATCGGCATCAGTCCGGACTAGTACAAGCAGCCACACACATACACGTGCATGCACGTCGCTATATAAGTGCAATAATCTTGGACGCGACGTTAAACCCCATTTCACCTCACCTCACCTCCTCCCAGTCGTGTACGGTAAGCGGGGATGGAGACATTCTCTGCCCCTGGATCCTTCGAAGACCCATCTAATAAATACTGCTATATGTGTGCAAAAATAGATGTCTTGTCTTGTCCACGCATATTTAAACTTGTCACATATAATCGATGATCTACTTACCAATAATTTGTCACTAAGTAACAATACATCGTGACCGAGCTCGATTTGTCTGGTTCCGGAACATAGTTTTAGCATAACCATTAAATATATCTGTTTGTTGTTTAACGCCGCACCACAGCAAAAGGACGGCGGTCTGTGAATAATCGAATCTGGACCAGACAATCCAGTGTTTGACATCACGAGCATCGATCTATGTAATCTGTGATGTTTCGAAACGTTTTGAAAACGTAACAAAAAACCCACTCATTTAGATGTTTTAAAGGTTTTTTGGAACGTTTTGTAACCATATTAAAAAAACGTTTTCAAAACTTCTTAAGAATGTTTATGTTAGCTGGACAGTGATTGACCTCATGAGCATAGATCTACGCTTTTGGGACACGACGACATGCACCAACCAAGTCTGCGAGCCTGACCACCGGATCCCGTTAGTCGACTCTCATGACAGATACGGTTGTCATCGGTTATCGTAACTCCCATATTTTAACATAGGCTTACAACAGTCTTAGCGCTAAGATCGCTTTGTGCAAATGAGCCCTGGATGTTCACGGGGATTGATCATTAAATAATCCATACTTCCTGAGTTACCATTCAACAAACTGAAGATGAACAGATGTAAATAAGAAAATGATTTATTTCACCGAATGATACACGATGATCATCATGACATTTCCATATGATACAAGGCAACAAGAAGTGTCGTGTTTCCGGGAACCCATTATTCCACTGTCACCGTCAGCAACTTGTGGTTAAAGAACAGCTTTCATAACTTGTTTTTGTTTCTTTGATGATATCTGATCGTGATACACGAAACATGGGAAACACGTTTCGGGTGGGGGCAAAATTACAGATGAACAATCTGAATTATGATCTGAATCTAAAACAAGATGGGGATGTCTACCGTCAAGGCCCATAAACTGTTTAATACATAAATAAAATAACAAGTATAAACAATAATTCAGTGAATCCTTGTTGTCCATGTGACAACATTCCTTACTTTCATTAAATCAATTTCGTACCCAATATTTTTAAAACATGAATGCAACTATCAGAGCAGTACCAAGACAATGAAAAGTTGCGATTACATCTCAAGGGTAATACAATACAATACAACGCACGACACAGTGTACAAATACCAGTAGAAGAATATCAGAAAACAGTGGTCCTTCCAAGTCATTCAATCATATGTACACATTCAACCAAAACTACACCCTATATTCTTCACAATGGACTCTCCCACCACCAGGATCTAGTACTGTGGGAGCTTCCTTGTTCAAGGAATAGGTGTGTCCATCTTATTCTTGCTTCACATCCATTGAATACTTATGATCGTTCTGAACTGCGTGGTTGCTAGCAACGTTGCAGTTCCCTTCGGCAACTGTACCCGCATGAGCTAAGAAAAGATCTTTGAGCACGCTGAGCTCCTTCGTGAGAATCTTGACTTTCTGTTCCAACTGCTCGTTCTCGTTTCTGAGGCGGGATACTTTCTCCATCGTCTCTTTCGCCTTGAACCGGCTCTTGTCACGGCTCTTCCTGACCGCAACGTTGTTGCGGTCACGTCGCTTGCGGTACTCCTCCGGCTTCTTCTCAGACTTCCTAGGGCGCTTGGTCTCATATTCCTCGTCATCTGTGCCCTCCATATCAGACGAGTTGAGCATTGAACGTTTGGGAGCCATTGTTGCCTGTTCTGAGTTCGCTGTTCTACTACTGCAGAGGTGGGGTACTATACTGATTGTAATGGAGGGCACAACCTGCGAATGAAAAAAAATGAAATATATTTAATTACTAAATTACATTCTATTACAATGGAATAATTTGAAAACATATTTATTCGCTGCGTTTGCATTTGTTAGAATATTACCTTTGTGTATACTGTGTGTACGGTAAATGGTTCGTTATCAGCAGAAAATATACATGGTTGTATCAAAATTTACTGATCAACAGTCAAACACGGCCATGGCCACCAGCGTTTTATGGTTGTGATATGTCATGATTACGATTCTAATATATACTTGTTGAATTCCAGTGAAAACATGGAATAGCATAAGATTGTGCCACCTTCTCTGCACCATAAGACCAAATAGCTGAAATAATCAGTTAGCACAAATTCTTGTATCCCCAGTACAAATATAGGTACCGATAGAACAAAGTCTCGTTGTGTCTCGCGTTAACATCCCTTTGTGAATCTTATGTTATAGATATGTGTTGGGGTTGGCTATCTCAACATATTTGTATCACGTATCTCACACTTTATGACCAGACTACTTATACACCAAAAAACATTGACATTATCGAATGTGGGTTGAGCTTAAGTTACGGTTATATACCTTAGCCCTTATATTTTTTATTAGTCCTAGTTGGTTTACAAACACCATCATAGATGAAGTACGATTGCGAATTGATACCAAAAGATATGTGTTGTTTTGGGTTAGAAAACCTTGATCTAATTATAAAACAGAGTGGTCCACAAAAAAACTGTCAAAAGCCACTTCTTTTTAATTTCAGGATTGAGTTGTTGGTCGGTACATTAAAAATATATATAGATCTAAGGTTATATATTAATATCCTCTGTATGCCTATAGCCAAATGATATGTAGTTATATTCACACCCAGACTGTTATACTGCATTTTAGACCTTACAACGCTGTTATCATTCTGTCTTAGTGTGCGAATAAGCTGCACAATCAAATGAAAAAAGAAAAGAAAAAGATATGATAGTTCGGTGAGCGTTAACAAATTTTTGGTTCGCGGACCGAGAGCAGTCTGCGAAAACTAGGCCAAGGGACGCCTCTGAATGGAGTTACTTCCCTTGGACTATAATACTATCGATCGAGGTTAACCACACAGAGAGCAATCGACATCTCTGCTCCTTGCTTCGCGATCTGCCAATTTGATACATAGCCTAGATTACACTGTAACATAACTGTTCTGATGTTCAAGTCCATTATTTTGGGTTATACTCAACCCCACCCACATTCACGATATGAATTCTGATCATAGTTCTTTCCTGTTCTCAAAAATATGTGGTGAAGTCCGGAGGACAGTTATTATGATCACATATAATATAAAATGAGTAATTCTGTACTCATTATTTCTCGATTTGTGCTTTTGTGTTCATAATTTTGTCTTAATTTATAAATATTATGAAATTTGATCTGTGGATTGTTTTCTTTGTCACTAACATCACGTGAATTGGTAATAAATAACAAAGAAAAATATCATTTTATATAACCATGCATCCTATGAAGAAAATTGATATTTACATTTTTGTGCATAGCAACGGATTCCTAAGTCTTATATATAGTAGGTCATCCCTTTTCATATATATATATATATATATAGAGAGAGAGAGAGAGAGAGAGAGAGAGAGAGAGAGAGAGAGAGAGAGAGAGAGAGAGAGAGAGAGAGAGGGAGGGAGAGAGAGAGAACATTAATATATTAAAATTGTATCTAAATGCTAATGTTAAAAAATACATAAAGGCAATATAATAATCTATGTTGATCACCCTGTCCATTGAGAAAACTGATAAAAGTTAAACATAAATTATGACACTGTTCCTAACGAATTAATATTTACAATTAACCACAATAACATACTCCATAAAACCTCTGAACATCTATCATTGTTTTAAACATGATCAAACTTACACTGACAATCTTAATAAACATGAACAGCGAAAACATCAAAATATGAATGATTATATATCATGAGAGGTGGCTTATGCCATTAGATGGTCAGGCTCGCTGACTTGGTAAAGTGGTTGTTGCATGTCATCATCTCCCATTTGTATAGATCTATGCTCATGATGTCAATCACAGGATTATCTGGTCCTGACATTAATGATAATAATCATCATTACAATTACAGCTACTTATTTTATGAAATTACCTAGAAAACAAAACGATGGCGATAATGAAAACAAAATACTTCATAATACTATATTCATGTACCATACCTTCATTGTTTACCATTTGAAACAAGAGTTACTAATGTTTATGTTTGTTTACGATAATGATTGGAAATTACTCTTACATGCATGTTGATAATTAGCAATTCATGTTAACATATGAAACAGTGAAGTCGGTCGGTGAAATTGCTGGCAATAAATGACACCGGCCGGTTTCCTTCCTTATCAGCTGGTGAATACACTCCAATATATCACGGTCAACGAACATGGCAAAATGACCTGCATGCATAACACATCGCACACATCGCTACAAGCAACACAATTTTGTCCCCGATCCCACGAAACGTGTTACAAAACCTACAGCATCACAGCTGACGACGTCGCAAGCTATATTCGTAGCATAGCGTAGTCTATACTGACGTGATCAATGCTTGACACAAACTCTGACATTTCGACAATGATGTGTGAGCAAGGGAGGAACGCTACGGGCTAGATAATGAACATCACAACATTAAAAACGATAAAATTGCTAGAATTCACACCTGTGCTAAACAAGCACTGCTTGAAAACGTCTGACCTACGGTAGATTGTCTAATTACTCCATTTCTTCGTCTTCTTCAACACAAACTGGTAAAATGTCGGAGGAGCTATCTAAATTTAGAAACCTGATGCAATCGTTTAGCTGGCCAATCAGATTCGAGTACCGCCTTTCTCCCGGTGTAGCTATGGGAATTTTCCACCGTTCAATGGTTTCACTGGTAAAAATTTCAATCGAAAACAACTGTTTAAAAAATACATGTTTCACTCAGATTATCTACAAATAAAATATGCAATGCAAATCAAGTATGGTTTAATTTAATAAACACCTGTAGAATTAAATTGCCACCCTATTGCGCAAGACTCTGAGGCGAGGGTTCCCTATGCACGTCACTGCTTGCTGCGAGCTCGCGTCATTTCTATATTTAGGCTCACTGGTAAAATTGGAAATTGACGTAAAGGGCTAAACTTAGCAATACGCGCACGGCTGGGGAATACTGTATCCTAGCGCGCAAAATATAGTTCGAAAGCCGGTAAGGGTAATTAATAAAATTTCAACCATGAAGTATACAAATAAGCGATCGCGTTATACTAATTAGATGTTTTTACTCATGCGTGTTGGTATACAACGAACTGTCAACTGCGTGAAATGTTTATGTGTTTTAACGGCGTATGAATTTGCATTCTTGGTGAAGTGGCTGCCGCTGTGTATAAAAGGCCCGTCAGGCAAACGTCACATCATTCAACGAATCTTACTCGCAGAGCAAATTTGACATCAAGGCTTAAGCTGATACTAAGAAGCTGTAGTTGACCACACGTGTTGTGTTGTCATTAACCGCCAAGATAGATTCCTTACACTCTGCCTTCCCGATTCCGTCTTTTACAGACGCATTCCCTGGATCACCATGTCCGAGCGTAGGAGAAATTATGGATACCCTCCAGATGTACGACACGCCTCTTATCGAAGCCAGTAAAGGTGAGGTTTCGAAAAACTGTGCAAGTGGTTTGACATTTGACGAAAAACTGTTGTTTGAGCTAGATCCAGCTCACGAACTATCTTTCGATATCTCAGCGTATCTGAATAATTCAACTGCAAATATTAACGTACTATCCTCAGATTCCGCCCTGGCTTCACAGCAACACGCCCAGGTCGTGAAAACAGAACTGACAAGTCCGGTACAAACGGACTTCGTGGCACTTGGACCAGCGTCTTCTACCGCATATCCGACAACTGTCTGTATGCCTGAGTTCGAGCAGCTAGCATCCGGATCGGAGGATTCCCAGAGCGTATGGGACCAGGCAATCAAGGCCGAGGACGCGGCTTACAGTGCCTGCAGTGAGACGACCACGTTCACATCCCTCACTAACTTGGCTTCACCAACTGTGTCATCCTCCAGTCAGATCGGAAGCCCCGGACCGGTTCGATCCCCAAGTGGGAAAGGGAGCTCCAGGAAACGTCAGTTACCTAAAGGCACTGAAGAGTATATAGAGAAGCGAGCAAGGAACAATATTGCTGTGAGGAAGTCCCGTGCTAAGGCGAAGGAAAAGCAGAAACAGACAGAAGGCCGGGTAAGCAACCTTGTTGGAGAGAACGAGAGACTGCAGAAGAAAGTTGATCTTTTGACCAAAGAACTGAACGTTTTGAAAGGCTTATTTATTAATGTTGGAGCTGCACTACCATCAAGCTTCGCCAAGCTTTTGGAGTCGTGACCCGAACCCCCGACATAGTGTTCTCGAACAAGGACTTGAGTATCGTTTCTGTGAATGTGACATTGCCGACTCCAAATCATCCTGTTGTGATCTAGGAACCCTTGTCTGTACTCCTGTGTGCTCATCTTGGCAACTTGACAACTTTGACAATGACATTTTTAGTTTCAAGTGTTCATTTCATTTTAGTGGATGTCGGATCTGTCCACATGACAAACCCATCGCCTGGATTTCTCATTTCATAGTGTATATTGTGCATTCTGAATTCATATATCATGTTGTCATTTTTACAATGTTATCACTATTAAATGTCAAATATTTAACAATCTCAAAAATTTGTCTGTTTTCAGTATTTGCTTGTTTGTGTATATTGGTACAATGTATTACAGTATTTGGTCTGAAGAGTTTCAATGAGAAATATCTATGCGTACACAACGAAAGATATATGAGTTTTCATATATTATCCGAATCTGCATTATGGCGATTTATTTTCTGTCCTATCTATCTAAATGTTAGCTTCAAGGCAGTACAATAATGGGGACCGAGGCTCACACGCCCCTCATGAGAGGTATTCTGTATATCCAGGTATATCAGATATCACTTACCTGCGACCACTGCACGGAGAATTCGCGGTATTTACACAGCCTTCTCTCAAGATACCTGGGTCTCTCGATCGCCATGACACCCGCCACCTGCGTTAGTTTCAGTGTTTGATTTGCTATCCGTGTTTTGGAACGAATGATTGGTGGGAAAAGATGCACACAGCATAGCAACACGTAAACTGTATCTAGTTAGATGACCTGACGTCCCCCTTCCAGCAAATATCCCCCTTAGTAACATACACGACCGGAACATGCACATATATTCGATCGACACTTGCACGACCACAGCTTTTATCCCAGAAATCTATTCGACAACGCCACCATAGTGCTCCCAGAACGAGTACTGTGTCGCTATCGCTAATACAGCACTCGAGAGCGATATATGGTTTAGAAACATCAACACATACAATATGGCTAACATAGTGTGTACATGGTTAACGAGGATGCGAAAAAGAGAGGAAATTGATGTGACAAGGACTGCTGCACACCGAACATCCTCTCACACCACCCCACCCTCCTAACCCACCCCCTCCTAACCCACCCCCAAAACCCCTCCAGCCCATCCTACCAACATGCTTCAACTAAGAACTCCGCCACACGCATAGAGAAACTGTTCGGACGTTTATACAACGATAATTCAATAACCACTGCCTCACAATCAATATAGAGACTGATCAGTACGGAATTCTTGCCATTTGAGCAGCAATGAATTCCATTTGATCGTCCATTTGTATGCGAATCCGTTCCTGCTGCAATTTGAGCGAATGTAGCTGTGAATTAAACATGTATGTGTACATTCCAACAACTAGATTTAAACATTTAAACAGAATAGACTGGGATATACTTGTTAAAGCATCGTGTGTACATATATATAATATATAGATGAATATAGTATAATACATTATGTGTACACTAGGGGAAAATGTGCTTCTGTCACTCGAGCAATTAAACTAAGTGACTTGTTTTAAATATGTCATTCATAATATACAGTTTTAGAACACGTCTCTATAAAAAAGGATACTCCTGAAATATTCCACTAGAATTCCACTCCAATAAAGAACACTGTCGGTCAATACACAATGCTGCTTAAAAACATATTCATTAATATAAACAAAATGAAACAGAACCCAAACCACGTGACGTGCTCCTTGGATCAGTGTTTACGGGACAGGCCATAGTAACGGCATATACACCACTCTTTATAAACGAGCTTAGGAAATTTCCTAAAGCTAGTATTGCTTCATCGTGAAGTTCGACTTTGGGAGGTTGAATTGAGTAAAAGAATGAATCATCTCTTTCACAACCCTTTACACTGCCTCCTCCACCAGTGAGGAAATTTCCACCACCATCATCAGAATATGCGCGTTCCGTTTCCAAGGGAACGCAATTGTCACCACAATACACATCTTATTTTAAAATAATATTTATTTTATTCTACGGAAACTAAAACGACGAAAATAAACTACATTAATAAATAAACAGTGTCTGCTGCACATATCTACATTAAAATCATTTGATCAACATTGAAGATTATTTTATCTGTATACACATGGTGAATATATTTGTAGTTTTTATTTTGATAACCCTTATCTTTAAATATATCCAAATGCTTCTTTTTCAATCATATAATTGGGTTGAAATAATAATTATTATAAAATAGCAATGAAATATATTTTTAGAACCTGACAAAATATCAACAGATATTATGGTGGATGTTTTCTTACCACAGATAGGGATTGAAGCAAATTCAGGGTTTGATACAGAATACATCAATTATTTAAAAAATATATACACAAACGTTGAATATCTTTTACACAGTAGGATTAACGGTATACTGGTGCTGGTGTGAAAAGAATAATATGATTGAAATTTAATATCAAATAAGAAAGCAAACTACAAAAACAAAAATAAAACATTTAGAATATTTGACATTGTAACCCCACCCCCACCCCAACATAAAATAAAAAAATACGAGTAAAGTTCGACATAATACAAGGTGACATTTAATTTTGAAATTGTAAGAAGATGCTTACAGAGTTAAATTTTATAACATTTAAAATAAAAAAATGGGAAGTTTAGATTGTGAGTGGAAACAGTTCGGCCTTGACCCCCTTTAAAGAATGTCCACACCCAGACCCTACCCCGTGCACCCTTCCCTTGTTTCGCAATAGTGTTTTAAAGTCCCTATCGTCTTCAGTTCTGGTATGTACTTTCCCACAGTGATTCATTATCATGCTGTATCCCTCACTGAGATTTGCAAATATTTCGTAATAAAGATATTGGGAAATTGAATGAAAATTCGAAAGATATTCTACGTCGGAAAATAACTCACTACTGCTCGCACCCCGAGAGGGACACACGTGAGTTAATCGTTATGATATTGTTGGACCAGTAATTGGATTATATACCTGTAAGGTAAGGCAAACTAAGCATACTTTCAATATACAATGACGTCATTGTCCTAACGGGGTCTTATTTCATGGGCATCCTTATACAGTGAAACCTCGTTATTCCGGACCCCCTTCTTTCCAAACGATGTTTGGGGGAACAGATTGTTTACAGTACAATATTTCTGGAAACGGCTGTGTTCGTATTAACGGGATTCACTGAATACAAAAACCTTGGTAAACAAACATCTGAATTTCTAAATGCATGTGTATCATAATGTGTTTTGGGGTTAAAAAATGGTATGACGATAATACAACCTTCAGGTTTCAACCACAAGTTTCATTTTGAAATGTACAGTACTTTTATGACATTTAAAACGTTTTACCGGATTGGAATGTTAAAGCATGTCAAATCTGTTTGAAATTTTGTTAATCAATTTGTTCAGTACAAGAGGAATGCACTCAGTTCTTATGTTAACGTATACGTCTGCGTATGTATGTTAGTTAAAGTATATATCATTTATGATTATTCTTATGGTTATATCATCGATATTGCTTGTGAGCATGTACTTGTGGTTTAGTAGGTTTATCAAAACATTATTAAGTCATATCTAAATTGTAAACATTTGTTTAAGATGTGTGCAATCATACTCAAAACGTTAAACCTAACGATCTCGGCAAAGTAAATATATGAAAAGGGACCCTTTTAGTCTACTAACACTTTTAAGTTTTACTCTGAGAAGTATTTAAAGAATTCATATTATTGCCAACTAGGACCTTTCCTTTCTTGAACTTTCATATTTTGGATAGAGGCACCGAGTCAAGAGGTGCACAGAAAATGTGTGAAAAGGGACGGTTTAGAGATTTTCAATGTGCACTAGTTTAATTTTTGTAACATGAGCAAATCCAGAGTTCATTTTACTGGGATATTTTCAAGTTTATAATCATAGTTGTCAGACATTTGAACAGTTCAATGACATTTCAAATATATGTCTTTACTTTCCCCAACTTTAAAATGTATTAATATGAGTTGGCCCAAAGTCGCTCATCACTAGACTGCATGAGGTGTATATTGTCAAAGGTACTAATATTTAAGCAAAACTTTATCAGTAAGAACAACGCTGTCGGAGGTCTGGGTTATAACTAATGTATGCAATCACTGGTTTGTCTGGTCCAGACTCTACTATCTACAGTCCACTATCACGCAGTTGGAATATTGCTGAATGCGGCATTAAAAAAACACACACAAAAAAACAGCAAGAACAATTCATTTGTTACTGAACACCCAGTGCGCCGCCATATTGAAACCCGAGGTGACAAATTTCAACGCGCGGCCGAACAATGTATACCGATAGTTTTACCATCCGCTACGCCCTCCCACACCAACTGTAACGTTGCCTACGCCATGGAATCAATCCTGTCTGTGGAATACCATGTACACAGATAGAGAAAAGGTCAAGTGCAGAATTACTACATTTCTGGCCTAATACACCTTCATTGAAACACGGGCTTGGATCTGTGGCCGATGTAAAGGTCATGCAATGGAATACACCAATACAATATGGCACACTATGTCACACTATGTCACACTATGTCACAACAGTCGTAGTCTCACATATGTGTAGCATGTATATGTTCGAAAAACAAACAAAAGCTAACAATATATATTAGATATTCTTCCACATTGCCCGAAACATTGAATTATAACCGTATTTTTATGTACATGTAGTGGTCTTCGGCGATAATGATGATGATTATATGTTAATGTCGCACCCGCTGGGATATGGCTGGGATATTAATGAAAGCAGGCGCAAAACCTCACTCACTCACTCACTCACTCACTCACTCACTCAAACACTCACTCACTCAAACACATCATGATCAAATAACCATTTCTTGTTTGTTTCATTATTAGCCACCATCAAACATGGGTATATACTTTCTTTTACCCGGTAGTTTATATGTCTGTCACCGAGGCTTACCCGCTGAGATATTTATCAATGGAAGAATTAGTATAATGATAGGGCGCAAAAAACATTTCTCTACTCGATTAAAAATAAGGGCATTCCAAGAAAAAAATAAACTCATCATCAATAGAACGTGTATTACAGTTTGTACACATCATCATCATGTTAAATAACCTTTCATAACTCGCCGACTTATAGTTGATGCACATCATCGTGTCCAAATAGCTAAGACCGTGGCGCATGATGTCAATCACTGGATTGTCTGGTCCTGACTCGATTATTTACAGACAGCGGTCATAATGCTGGAAAATTGCTGAGTGCAGCGTTAAACAACAAACAAACTACAATTACGACGGTACCATCCAGGTTACACATAATA